CTCGGCATGTACTATAGATTATATCTAGGGAAGTACAAAGAGAAGGCAGAGGGCCATATCCAGATCCAGGGTACACTGACCAAATTGGGTTCTACAGCTATGTGCAGATATCCAACAAGAATGGATATGTCTTAGAAGTTGAATGTAAATGTTTGTCACAGGAGGCATGAAATCACACCCAAGAACAACCCAGCGAACAAAACGCACCCGAGGTGAAAGGCTCTCTGCCTTTTTTCCTGGACCCTCTCTCATAGTTCCCCAAGGCATTGTTCACCATGTGTCATCCTTTTGACTGTGTACTGACAGCGCCTATAATCCCAGCACTCAGGAAGCAGAGGCAGGAGGATCCTGAGTTCAAGGCCATGATCGACTACATAGCAAGTTTGAGGCCATTCTGGGCCATATGAGACCTGTCCCACCACCACCAAAGTCTCCTTAACAATGAATACATTTTATTGTATGTATATTACATCCCAGTGAAGTTGATTAGGTAGAAAAAAGCAAGGCCAACTACACGTACCACCAGCCTGCCAGGGGTTGGGGTGTAGCTCAGTGGTAGAGTGCATGCTTAGTATTCACAAGGCCATGGGTCCAACCACTAGCATAATAAGGAGATATCGTGAACAAATGTACCCTATATCAAGTTCAGAGATATAGTACCCGGTTGCCCACTGATCATTTGTCGTCGCCAACTTGGCAGGTGGAAGAAGAAAATCCTTCCCCAATCGGGCCTCCAAGGGCCAGTGGCTTCCGGTGACCCGATGCAGGTTCTGTCTTGTCTCTTCTCCCTACTGCTGCCTCTCAAGCCTCTAATTCTCGAATTCTTGTTTTGCTGCAGGCACCAGCAATCACTCGCCACCATAGTGGCTTTGGGACTTCATAGCTCTGTGGGAAGCTGTAAGGAGCATTTCTGCTTTAGGGGCACCAGAGGCCAGGATAGGGCTCACTTCTTTCTCTGGAAGCTTCTGGCGGCTTCATGTATAATCAAATGATGGGAAGCCAGTGAGACTTGTTTCTATCCTGGGCAGGGAGGGTAGAAGCAGTGGTGTGGAGGCAAACAACAGACGCCAGGCCACTGCCCTCGCCTTTCTCTTCCTTCGTAACAGACTCAGCCTGAGCCAGGTTCCCAGCGATGGTCCTAGGGAGATTTTGCAAGCCAAGCTTCCTGGTTAATGAAAGGCCAGCATTGTCCTTACTTGGCAAGGAAAGCAAGGGCAGCCTGTAAGTCTGTCTGCCAGGTTGGAACCTGCTTTCCCTGACTCTCTGAGAGTCCCTCGTCCCTGCCCACAGTGTCCCTGATTGTTTCTTAGAAGAAAATCACCTTTGGAATAAAGTCAAATTTAAGAAGCCTGCACTGGTGTTGCCAATTATGTTGAATGATGTTGAAAACTTGGTGGTCACTCTTACAACTCAGTGGCACCTCAGGGTCAGTAGACTGGCCAGTGGGTAGGTGCTGCCAGGAAAACATCTCCTTTCTTCCCTCCTGCTATTGTCTTGGTCTCGGCTTCTGAGAGGCAGCAGAGCACAAGGCTCTGTGAACGAAGACCCCCTGTGCCTGAGTTTCCTCGCTTGTGAGGCAAGGCTAGTTGAGCTGACACTTCAGAAGGAGGAATAAGAATGGCTGTTGGGGCTGGAGAGATGACTCAGCTGCTAGCTGCCATGTGGGTGCTGAGAATTGAACCTGGGTCCTCTGGAGGAGCAGCCAGTGCTCTTATCCACTGAGCAATCTCTTCAGCCCAAGATGGCTCAGCTGTTAAGAGCAATTGCTGCTCTTGTTGAGGACCTGTTTAGGTCCCAGCACCTACATCAGGTGGCTCACAACCGTCAATTCCAGGGAATCTGATGCCCTCTTCTGGCCTTAATTTTAGCTGGAAATTTCTCCAGTCCCACCGGGCCCTAAGGTCCACAGCCGCTTATAAAATAATCACTCAGAGGCTTATATTACTTACAAACTGTATGGCCCCCGGCTTTAGCTTCTGGCTAGCTAACTCCTTAATCTTAAATTAACCCATTTCTATTAATCTACATATTGCCACATGGCTGTGGCATTACCGGTCTGTTGGCATCTTGTTGCTCCTTCGGCAGTGGCCTGACGTCTCTCCCAACTCCACCCTTTTTCTCTCCATATCTCTGCTTGGATTTCCTGCCTGGCTGTAAGCTTTCTTGCCATAGGCCAAAACAGCTTTATTTATTATCTAATGGGAGCCACACATATTCACAGCATACAGAAAGACATCCCACAGCATTTAATAGGTACATGCAAGCATGCACACACATGTGCACACACACTCACACACACACACACACACACACACACACACACACACACACAAATCATTTTTAAAAAAGAACTGATGTTTCAAACACTGGGCTGGACTGTAAAGAAAGATTTTGAGGATGTCATAATCCTCAAAGAAGAAAGGACAGTCACTTATTGAGCTCCTACTATATGCCAGCCGTGGACCAGAGGGTGTAATAAACAATCCCTCATCCAAAAGCCTTGGTCGGGGTATACCTGGTGGGGGGGGCATCTGAGAGCAGAGGCCTGGGTGTGTTTCATGGGCCTGTGTTGTAATGATTTTAAAGAAGTTCGATATAGGATGTATCCGACTCTGGGTGGCATTCCATTTTCAGGTATAAAGTGTTTTGAATAGTCACAGGCAGGGACTTTATAAGCATCTTTTAAATGGTTTGTGGCCAGGAAAGGTCGAGCTGTGCTGCCAGATGTGGTCCTGCCCAGTTGGCTTCTGATGCCAGCAAGGTTAACCTCTAGCTTTTGTGACTCTGGGGTTTAAAACTGTGGATGAGCCACTTCAGAACTCTTTCAATTCATCTGATGGCTACCAGGGACCGATGGTGTCCATGACTACAAACACAGAGGTGGGTGAGTTCCACAACCATTGCCAAGCTCACCAGCCAGAATCTCTGTCCCTGGACACCAGCCCTCTCCCAACTGCTCTTCTCCCTGGAATCTCACATGTGCTAAGTTGTAGGTGGAATGTCTCTCTCCCACCTGCCTGTTCCCAAATACCTAGCAGCTGCTTACCAAATAATTGACTCAAAGGCTTAATATTACTTATGAATGCTTGGTCGATAGCTCAGGCTTATTACTAACTAGCTTTTACACTTAAAGCAACCCATAACTCTTATCTATGTTTAGGCACATGGCTTGTTACCTTTTCTCAGTACAACAGTCTCATCTTGCTTCCTCTGCGTCTAACTGGCGACTCCCGACTCCACCCTTCTCCTTCTCAGCATTCTCCTAGTCTGGTTGCCATGCCTATACTTCCTGCCTGGCTACTGGCCAACCAGCATTTTATTAAACCAATTTGAATGACAAATCTTTACAGTGTACAAGAGCATTATCCCACAGCACTAAGTAAGCACTCTATCACTGAGCTGTATTCTTAGTCCTGGCCCTTAAGCCTGGACTCCATGGCACCCTTCATGTACCCTTCCTTTCTTTAAAGCCAAAAAAAAAAAAAAACCCTCTTAAAAATTATTTATATTTTATGTGCATTGGTGTTTTGCCTGCATGTATGTCTGTGTGAGGGTGTCAGATCTTGGAGTTACAGACAGTTGTGAGCTGTCATTAAGTAGGTTCTGGGGATGGCTTACTAAAGTGCCTGCTGAACAAGCGTGAGGACTTGGATCCCCAGCATCCACGTAAAAGCCAGGCCGATAGTATGCACCTGTAACTCTGGTACCAGTGCCAAGGAGGTGGAGACAGGGTGATGGTCCCTTGAGCTCATCAGCCATCAAGCCTGGATCAGCGAACTCCAGGTTCAGTAAGAGACCCCGTTAAAACAAACAAGCAAAACAAAATAAAAAAAAAAAAAAAACAGATGAGATGTCACACTCTGGCTTGTGCATACATGTGCACATGCTGCACCCCCACACGGGAAGATACTCACACAAACGTATGCATAGATGAGATTTTAAGTAACTTGTCCTGTTCAGAGTTGTCTGCAGAGTGGGGTTATGTAATGCTGAGCTGATGTGGAGAGTGAGCAACTCTCAGGAGAGTCAGACCAGATGGATTCACATCCTAGGATGATGAGACTTGCTGCGCAGTGCTCTCCCCAGCTACAATGAGGTGGGTCACAACAGCAGCTACCTCCCAGGGCATGATAAGGATTACACAGGATAATTGGGATTGCCTAGAGAAAGACCCAATTAATATACGCTACATTAGTCTCCTAGTTCTGGCTCCCCGGTTCTCTGCACGGGTTTAGGCAACACTGATTCATAGAAAGGTCTCGGGAACCCTCAGCACAAGGGAGCTAATGCTGGGTTCTTGTCCAGAGTGCGGCGCTGAGCTGAGGATGTCCGGCTGGAATCTCCAGCTCGGCCCCACGAGTGGTCTAGCCCCATTTCTCTTTCTCTCCGAACTCTGCCCTCTCAGAAAAACCTCCAAAAAGTCCAGTTCTAAATTCCTGGAGGTTGTTGCGGCTCCTCCCCTGAAGCTGCTAGCTGCCCAAGACCCTGCCTAAAAGCGTACCATGCTGGGGCACAAACCCAGCCTGTGTCAGACATGTTATCATCCCTCAACTACAGGGTACATAAACGCCCTGCTTTAGATGGGCCGTGTGATTTTTCTCCAGTCTGCCTTACCCCTGCCTCAGTCTCTGGGGGCTGGAGGGTCACCCAGGAGTGATTTGCCCAAATAAACCTGGTCTTTTACTTTTTAATTCAACTTGATCTGGCTTACTGCGTCAGAGGAAAAACCTATTACTGGGGGGCAGAAAACCTATTAAAGGAGAGGGTAAATTACTTCTCAGCCTGGTACCCAGCATTGACTGCCTTGAGTTCTGAGGGATGCTGGGTCAAGGGCATTAATATGGACATCTCATGGTGGAGATGCAATAATACCTGAATCCACAGCAGCATCCACCCCAGAGGAGCTGGGGAAGCAGAACAGACCTCACTCATTCATTCACTCACTCATTTATTCATGTCTGCATGCAATGAAGAGTGATTTGCCCCTTTCTCTGCTACAGATCTGACCCTGGCACCGTCTCCAGAGCACAGGCTTCATGGAGGTCCTCAGAAAATGCAAAAGCCCTAAAAGGTATGGATGGAACAAGTCATCATATTCCTCTGGGGAGGCACTAGAAGGGCTTCTCTGAAGAAGGGGTACCTGAAGATTGATCAGCAAGGGTTGGGAGATCTCAGGATAGAGAGTATCGGGAGACAAGGCCTGAAGCCAGGAGAGGAAGGCTGGCAAGTCATGAGTCCTCTGAGGCTGGAGAGTGACAGGAAGGGAGAGGAAGAGAGAGCCTGGGCTTACTGTTCTACCCCAAGAGCAATGGAAAATGCTGAACAGTTCTGAAAGGGTCGTCTTGGTGGCACCGTGGAAAGGAATCTGTTGGCATATGGCGGGACCTGGAGGTTAGGGCGGAGAAGGGTGGGGCGGTGCAGACAAGGAGGGGTAAGCCTGAGACCAGGGTCACAGCACTGAAATGGGGGGAAGAGGTTTTGAGGGAAACTCCAAGTGACAAGCTGAGGATGGGGTAGCCACGGCCTCTGTAGCCAACAGATGACTTATGGGAACCAATGAGGAGCCTGCTCACTGGGTCCACACAAGATGGGAGTTCCTGTAGTCAGGAGGGCAGCAACTCCTCTGGCCTGGGCTTTCCATGTGAACATTGTCAGGGGCCATGAGAGCGGACCAACAAACAGCTTTGGAACTTCTGGAACATGACTAGGCGGTCAGCAAAGGCACACCTGAGTGAAGCTTGGCGAGGCAGAGCCCCGAGGATTGCGTTTCCTGAGGACCTCATGATGTTATTGAGCATAGCTCTGCGTATTGACCTCGTGGTCACCACATCCCTCACAGTCTATGATTTGTATGAAAACTCTCAAGGGGTCTCTAGCCCCTCACTGAGTAGTTTTGTTACTGGTACTTATAGTAATAGTGATTGACTTTTTCCAGGCATTGCTGCTGGAGCAGATTAATGATTCAACCACCACCCTTAGAAAGAATTTAGACATGTAGATTGTTAGTAAGGTTAGGTGTTTTTTGTTTGTTTGTTTTAATTTTATGTGCATATATTTGTGTGTGAGGGTGTCCTGGAATGGGAGTCACAGACAGTTGTGAGCTGTCATGTGGGTGCTGGGAATTGAACCCAGGTCCTCCTGAAGAGCAGCCAGTGCTCTTAACCCCTGAGTCATCTCTCCAGCCCCCAGGTGTTTTTGTTAATGGATTTTAGGTAGAAAATCTTGGGGAACAATTTAAAGTTTAGAAAGGCACATAGTTGAGTGAGGGACTCGTTGAGGTCTAGAAACAAGAACAAGGACAACCTGGTTATTATCAGCTGACGTGCCTCTCTTGATAGGATGGGTTGGTGATCAAGGGTGACGATTAATTCCTTGTGCGCATTACTGCCCTCGGCTTCCTGATATGAAAACCCGTTGATGAGTGGGTATGCAGCCTGAGGATTGAAAGTAGAGCTGACTGATTGTTTTTCGTATAGAAAAGTTTAGATTTGGGATTCTCTTAAGATTTTTTTCATATTGCTTGAAAGATTTTGCTCGGGTATATAAGCTGTCAGGAGGAAATAAAGCCACACAGAAAGAAAACACCAGGAAAGCTAGAGAAAGGAAGGATGGAGGAGGAAGCCATTAGGAAAAAGACAAGGGAAACATCAGGGTAGAAGAACAGGACAGGAAAACAGAACAGAACAAGCAACAGAAAGAATAATAAAATGAAAGACAAGCTTTTGTCCCTCAGAAAAGAAGTCTGTGTGTTTTTTCTCGCCAACTCTGCATCTCATGCGCTGTCTCTCTGACCAGCAGAAGGCTGGCCCCTCTGCAGAACATCGTGGCTGAACCTAGGTTGTCGAGAGCCATGGCTTGCAATTCACCTTCAGCACTAAACTTTCTGGGGCTCCTGCTGGGCCCTCCAACCAAGCCTGAACTGGTTAGGGTTTCAACGTGTGACCACCTAGAGGCTCGGCCCAAGTGTCAATCCAATATCCACGGAGGGCAGCTGGCTTTCCGAGCCCCTGGTGCTGAAATCCGGGAGCCCTCCTCTGGCTCTGCTAGGTACCTGCCTAGAGGCAAACCGGGAAGGAAGCGCAGCGGATGAGGCTGACGTGGCTGGGTACAGAGGGCTCTGTCTGCTCCGTGGCTGCGCCTCAACTGCCCCGACAGCATTTTAAGAGACTCAAGTTCCCTCTGGCCGATCAGGAACTGAAGAGTCCCAACACCTCCAAGCACACAAAGCAGAAAGGCCTAGGTCCCCAAGGGTGACACCAGCAGCGACTCACATAGAAGTCCCTGTAGCGTAAGTGAGGCAGAGCAGCTCAGGGCTCGCCACGTCGCTTTTCCATGAGCAATTTTTGTTTCCTTGTTTGTTTTGAGACAGGCTCTTGAGCAGCTCAGGTAGGCCTCAAACGCAGTATCCAGCTGAAGATGATTCCTCTGCCTCCCTCTCCCCACGTGGGGATTACAGGCTGGCACCATCCCACCCAGTTTACCCAGTGCTGGGGATGGGACCCAGGGCGTCATGCAAGCTAGGCAACCACTGAGCTACAGCCCTAGCCCTCCGTGGGTATTTTTTTTTCTGGGTCCAGTCACCCTGAGAGAAGGTATTAAGACACTCTGCACAGGGTTGGTAAGTCCCAAGGGTTTGAAAAATTCATTAGCTTGCAGAAATGACCCCACATTTGTGTCCTTCCAAAGGAGCTGGCTCCAGTTGCAGACTTGGCATGACCACAGTGTGAGCAGGGCAGGGTTAGGAGGCTCCGTGTGAAAGAGGCCGCCACCCCGGACCCAGGCAAGGGGAGGGGACAGGCCCGTCAGACCAAGCGTCTGGTCACATGTAGAGAGCATCTGTTCCATGCTGTTCTCTTTGCGATTCACTCACTACACCCCCATAAAGTGGAGGCTACATTATCGATGCTCCCCCACTTACAAAAAAATGGATTGAGGCCCCAGGACCTGCTTTGTGTGGTTTGGCTCTTCAGGGTTAGAAGTGGCCTCTCCTGCTCCCTTGGGGATCTGCCCATTCCTTCCTTACAGCTTTCATGGCTCTGCCCTCAGGCCCCTCCCACTGACCTGTGGGTTCCACCAGGACAGGGCACCGTATCTCCAGTCCTTAAGGGCGCTGGAGAAGTGTGTTTTCATTTTGCTAAATTAAGTAGGCCATAGGGCAGGGGTGGAGCTCTGTGGGAGAGCATGCACTGAGTGTGTGCAAGGCCCTGAGTGAGTTTTATCTCCAGCACTGCAAAAGTGTGTGTGGGGGGCTGGGGGTGGGGGTGGGGGGAGAGGGGAATGAGGTTGGAGAGACAGCAGCGGGTAGGAATGCTTGCTGTGAAAGCGTGAGGACTTGAGTTCAGATCCCAGCACCTATGTAAAGCTGTGGGAGGTTGGAGGCCGGAGGCAGGAGGATTGCCGGGGCTTGCTGACCACCAGCCTAGCTCCGGGTTCAGTGAGAGAGCCCGACTCTAGGGAATAAGGTGGGGAGTGAGAAAGTAGGACACCCAAGGTCTCCCTCTGGCCTCCGCACATGTACTCCATCTGACATGTGCACTTGCATGTGTACATACACCACATATGCGCACACACACACACACACACACACACGTACAACATACACACATATATGCACAAATACACACAGCTTCTACCCGAATTCTTCCTCAATGTCAGGCCCAGGACTCCAGGGTTAGTAAGAAATACTCCTTATTCTTCGTGGAGCTCATTTCTAATAGAGATCAACCGTTAACAAAGGAATAAAGGCCCATTAAATTCCTCCGGCATTCAGTGCAGGAAGGCAGTAAGCAGGTAATTGTGCGCATCTGAAGTTCCCTTCGGGGAGGGTGCAGAGCTGGCTTGAGGTTGAGACATGGAGGATTCAGAGAAATGACATTGTAAGAGGCTAGGGAGACTGTCTGAGCAGTGCGGACAGGAAGTGCTAAGGCCCTGTGGTGGGAGGAAGCTCGGATTGTGTAAGGGGCAGAAGCAGGCCAGTGTGGCTGAAGCCTGGGGAGTCAGGGGAGGAGAGAGTTGGGGAGCAGCTAGGTGTCAGTGTCAATATGGAGGAGGGATGGGTTTTGGGCTCCAGGCCTGGGATCCAGCAGCCCAGCTGTGAATACATCTTAGTTCATATGCCACATGTCACCGCTCTAAGACTTGGTTTGACACAGCTGAGCCACACATGAGGGAGGATGCAGGCTCAAACAGCAAATGGTATCAATAAGATGCAGCATGCCTTTGAACCCAGCATTCCATTAAAAAAGCAGAGGCAGGCAGTCAGTGTGAGTTCGAGGCTGGCCTGGTTTATATAGTGGGTTCTGAGTGAAAAAAAAAACAAAAACAAAAACAAAAAGGAAGGACATGGCTCCTCCTAGGTATGGTGGAGGAGAAAGTTTATTGTTAATAAAAAGGAATGTGGCCAGAGGCAGGGACGTATGGGAGAGTCCAGAGTGGACATGACCCTGAGCCTGTCAGGAGAGGGGATAAGGAAGAGGGAGTACCCGACCAAGAGGCCAGAATGATAAAGGTAGACCAAGAGAGACCAGGTAACCAAAGTGGTTGGATTATACTGGGAAGGACATCTGCGTGAAGGGCAGCCCAGCCCCTGGGCTGGAGAAGTTTAGGGTAGGGGGTGGGGTATGCCAGCCTGGAGGGCCCTGTACAGGTAGGGACTGAGGGATTCAGGGAGAACCTAGAGGCCAGCATCCACTTTGATATGTTAAATAGGCACCTTAGCCATTTGTCCCTGTTTGAGATCTAACAGGTTCCAGGCCAGTCGGGGCTATATAATGAGACACTGTCTCAAAAGAAATTAAATTAAAAAGTGCAGGGAGATGGTTATAGGGATGCTGGGTGGTTCCTTACTCCTGGGCCCTTTGACACTGGATTTCATGTGTCAATTTGATTGGGTCAAAGGATGATGCCCTGACAGCTAGTAACATAGAGTTTCTGGGTGTACCTGTAGAGATTTTCTAGAAAAGATTAATATTTAAATTGGTATCCTGAGTCAAAAGTTAGACTCTTGGGGATAGAGAGATGGCTCAGTACTTAAGAGCTCTTGCTGTTCTTTCAGAGGACCTGGGTTCGATTCTCAGCATCTACATGGTGGCTCACAACTGTCTGTAACTCTAGTTCCAGGGGATCTGAAGCCCTCTTCTGGCTTCTGAGGGCACCAGGAATGCACATGATATACAGACATACATGCAGGCAAAACACCCATGCACATTTGAAAAAAAAAAAAAAAAAAAGGCGGGTCCTCACTGATGCTGGCACTGTCCCATCCATTGGTGGCCCAAGGAGACCGCAAAGACAAAAAGGAGAGTGACCCTCCCTCTCCCTCCACATGGATGTCCTTCTTTACCTGCCCTGGGGCACTGCAGTTCATGATTTGGAGCCTTTGAGCCTGAATTGAGACCCATAACACCGACTCTTGGCGCCCAATCCCTTGGGTTTGGCCTGAAACTGTAGCTTTGGTTTTTCTGGGTGTCCGGCCTGCAGATAACGGCACGTAGCCACCTCCGCAGTCGCATAAATAAACAAACCTCTTGTCTCCCCGCCTCTCAGTCCCTCTTCTTTCCTCTCTTGTCTTTCTGTTGTTCTGAGACAAGGTCTCTAGGCTGGCTGACTTCTTGTCAACTTGACACAAGCTAGAGTCATCTGGGAAGAGGAACCTCACTTGAGAAAATGCCTCCATCAGATTGAGAGAATGCCTCCATCAGACTGCCTGTAGGCGAGTCTGTGAGGTAGGCGAGTCTGTGGGGCATTTTCTTGATTCTTGATTGATGTGGGAGGGTCCAGCCCACTGTGGGTGAGTGGTCCTGGGCTGTATAAGGAAGCAGGCCGAGGGAACCATGGGGAACACGCCAGTAACCACAGTTCCTTTGTGGCTTCTGCTTTGGTTCCTAACTCCAGGTTCCTGCCCCCAGATTCCTGTCTTGGCTTCCTTCAGTGGAGTGTGACCAGCGATTTGTAAGTCAAATAAGCCCTTTCCTCCCCAAATTGCTTTTGGTCATGGTCTTTATCACAGCAATAGAAACCCAAGACACCCACACTGTGTAGGCCAGGCTGGCTTCTAACTATCAATCCTTCTTTCTTCCCTCCCCCATCAGGTTCTGGGATTATGGGCTTTGAATCTCTTCCTAGGTTCCACTTCTCTGCAGAACCCTGACTGATACAGTCCCAGAGTCGCTGCCTCTGAAAATATGACGTGCCCACACACATGTATGAGACACAATCAATCAATAGATCAGTAAATGCACCTACCATTCTCTCCTGGAACTCACTCTCTAGACCAGGCTGGCCTCGAACTGGGAGATCTGCCTGCCTCTGCCTCCCGAGTGCCGGGATTAAAGGCACACGCCACCACCGCCCAGCTGCACCTTCCATTACTTAGCACACACTTTGTACTACTTCCTTCTCCCTCACCCTCCTTGCTGTTCCCTGGGAGACTGGCTTGTCCTGGCTGAGTCCCAAGCGGTTCCTGGGAACTTGTTGTCCTAGGAAATCTGTCTTTCTTCAGTTGTCCTTTGCTCTAGGGTTTTCCCTCTGGGGATGGAAGCGTGTGTGTGTGTGTGTGTGTGTGTGTGTGTGTGTGTGTGTGTGTGTGTGTGCGCACGCGCGCGCGCGCGCGCTAATCTTCCAGGAGAAGCTGAGACTTGCCAGCACTGCTCAGGCAACCTCAGGTCAAGCCAAACTTTGAACAGAGAAGCCAGGCTGGCACTTCTATCCTGGTTGTTAAAGACAAGGCAGGGACTTGGGCCCCACCTGCACCCTTGCGGGCACCCTACAGTCTCCAGTCTCGCTCACATGCCTAGACCTTTCGAAGGGTTTTGTTCCTGGATGGAAGGTTTGCTCACAAGCCCCAAGTCCTGAATAACGAGCCTGGGAAAGTGACTGTGAGCAGGTGTTTCGTTCAGATATCAGTACCAGGAGGGACAGAGGTAGGACACTTCACCTTAAGCTTTATGTTTTTATGATTCAGATTTGATATCAGCAATTATCTCCTAGGATCCAAACAGTGGAAGACTGGATAACCAGGCCTCCAGAGGTGAAGTGTGGGTCCTGGCACTTCAGCTGCAGTCTCACTCTGTGTTTTACTTTATTATTTCTTTTAGAAGCACTCTTGTAAGTTACGGCCAATGGCCTGCTTCCCACTGGAGGCTGTAAGAATGCCCTTTATGTCTCTCAACGCTTGTGAGAGTATTTCACACTAGACAGTTGTGTTTCAGTGATGAGATGCAGGACATTCAGAAACTGCCTCTAGTACAGCTCCAGAGTCGGCTCAGCTGAGGAACACATCGGTCAGCGGTGCAAATGTCCCCGGAGCTGGAAACAGCAGGTGACATAATGCATCTGTCTGGAGGGCCACTAAGCTAACTCGGTCCCACAGACTGGGGCTCCAGCGGCTGACACTTGGGCCTGAGAGAGAGTGCTGGAGGCTGGGTGTCTGAGATCCAGGGGTGGGCAGGGCTGGAGTCTGTTGAGAGGTGTCTTCCTGGCTGGAAGACAGCGCCTTCTCACATGTCCTTACATGACCTTCCTTCTGTTTGTGTGCGCTCTGGGGAGGGAGCCTCTTCCTCTGCTTTATGACCTCATTTAACTTCAATGACTTCCTTAAACATGGTCTCCAAATTCATCTCTTAACAAGGGGGATACAATGTGAGAAATACAAGGCTGGCATTGTGCAAACCTCATGGAGTGGGTCACCCATGCCTAGACAGACAGACCACTTCCTCCATGTAGCCTGAGGATGCTGCTGTAACGTGGCGTGAAACATAGTCAACCTTTTGTGAGGTTTTTGAGACAGGGTCTCGTGTCACCCAGGCTGCCTTCTAACTTGCTGTGAGCAGAGGCTACCTTGAGCTCTTGATCCTCCTGCCTCAGCATCCCAAGTGTTGGGATTACAGGTTTGCACCATGGTGCCCAGTTAATTTTTTAAGTTTGAATGATGACCTTGAAGAGAAAACCTACCAGTCTCTGGTACCCTGGCATCTAACCACGGATCCATGGAGTACTGTCGATTTCCTTCCCATGCTGTGGAGGGGTTCTTCCTGCTGAGCCCGGTGCTCATCCACCCTTCCAGCGCAATCATGTGTGTGTGTGTGTGTGTGTGTGTGTGTGTGTGTGTGTGTGTGTGTATGAGGAATACGTCAGAACCAAGATGTTATTGCTCACTGCTACCACTTCTCTAGGTCTTGTCAGTAGCACACACACACAGACGCACACACTCTCACAGTGAAACCTGTGGTCATACTGATGTCTTGATCCAGCTCTAATCCAGCATCACCCCATTTATTCTAGTTTTCCCCCTTTTAAAATATTAATTGTGTGTGTGTGTGTGTGTGTGTGTGTGTGTGTGTGTGTGTGTGTGCACAACAACCTGCCCGTGGAGGTCAGAGGTTAGAGGAAAACCTCTAAGAGTCGGTTCTCAGGTCCTTAGCCGTGGCAGCAAGCGCCTTTACTGCTGGGCCACGCCACCAGCCCTCCCCTCCCACTGTGCTTACCCGGAACTTTTCAGTGAGAACCTACTCACACCGTCTGCTGTCTGTGCACTCGTTATTTGATCTCAGCACACCTGTGCAGAGCTCTGGATTGTATCTAGATCCCGTTCAACATGACATTGCCAGCCAGTGTCGTGTTTAGCAACAATTTCCTGTCTCCAGCCTCAGTCTCCCCTTGCTTCCAAAGTGACTTCAGTATTGAAAGCTGTCTTTCTTTCCTTCTTTCCTTCCTTCGTTCCTTCCTTCCTTCTCTCCTTCTTTCTCTCCTTCTTTCTTTTTTTCTTTCTTCCTTCCTTCCTTCCTTCCTTCCTTTCTTTCCTTCCTTCCTTCCTTCCTTCCTTCCTTCCTTCCTTCCTTCCTTCCTTCTTTCCTTCCTTCCTTCCTTTCTTTCTTTCTTTTTGATTTTCCAGACAGGGTTTCTCATGTAGCTTTGGAGCCTGTCCTGGAACTTTCTCTGTAGACCAGGCTGGCCTTGAACTCACAGAGATCCTCCTGTCTCTGCCTCCCAAGTGCTGGGACTAAAGGCGTGGGCCACCATGGCCCGGCTAATAGCTGTTTGTTTTTAATTGGTGACGACAGGGACTGCATGCAGGGCCTCAGCTGTGCTATGCTTAGCTAACTATACTTTTTTGTCTGACTTTTTTTTGGAGACAGGATCTCATGTAGTCCAGGTTGTCTTGCACTCACTGTGTACCCAAGGATAGCCTCCCCATTACCAAGGCCTGGCTTATGCTGTGCTGGGATTTGAGCCAGCTTCAGGCGTGCTAGACAAGTACTCTGCCAACAGAGCTACATCCCCAGCCTCAGGAAACTTTAGATCAGTGTGTTTAGCTCAGTGTGTTTGCTTTTGTTTCCTGTCTGCTGTGAAGTGAGCGGCTTTTTCAACCACAGACTCTTGCTGCTGTAATGTTCTGCCCAAGTAGGTGGCTCTAAGTGACCGTGGACTGAAGCTTTTCACCCTGAATCCTGATCCCCTCAAGCAGACAAGTCTGCTGCCCAGCGCATCGGAAAACAATAGACCTGGTGTCGAGGAAGCTTCATCCCTCCCCACAATTACCCTTCTACCATCAGAAATGAGCATGAGTCCATTCCAGACCAGGCAGCCCACCCCAACCCAGCATCTAACATAGACACACCAAGCCAGGACATCAGCAGAGCCCAGCCCAGGTCAACAGAACTGCCCATTCATAGATCTGTGAATACCTACTAAGTGTGCTAAGTCCTGCAGCAGTTTGTTATCCAACAGTGTAACACCAACACGATAAAATATATTGTTATTCTCTCACTTAAAAATGGGTTGCAGCAGCAGGTGGTGGCACACGCCTTTAATCCCAGCACATGGAAGTCAGAGACAGGTGGATCTCTGTGAGTTCGAGGCCAGCCTGGTCTACAGAGTGAGTTCCAGGACAGCCAGAGCTACACAGAGAAACCCTGTCTCAACACAAAACACAACACAACAACAACAACAAACAAAATGAAACAAAATATGGGGCTGGGACATGGCTCAACAGTTAAGAGAACTTGTTGCTTTTGCAGAGGACCTAGGTTCAATTCCCAGCATCCTAATGGCAGCTCATAACCATCTGTATCTAGTTCCTAGTGCCCTCTTTTCCCTTCTCTTCCTCCTTTTCCTCTTCCTCATCTTCTCCTTCTTCAAGATTTTTTTTTTTATCTATTTTATGTATATGAATACTCTATCTGCACATGCCAGAAGAGGGCATCAGAGCCCACTAGAGATGCTTGTGAGCCACCATGCGGTTGCTGAGAATTGAACTCAGGACCTCTGGAAGAGCAGCCAGTGTTCTTAGTCACTGAGCCATCTCTCCAGCCCCCTGACACCCTCTTCTAGTCTCCTTGGGCACTACATGCACATGGTTCACAGACAAATCAGCCATTCACATAAAATCAACAGTCTTTAAAAGAAGACTCTAGGGGGCTGGGAGTGTAGCTCAGCTGGCAGAATGTTTGCCTGGCATACGGGAAGCCCTGAGTTCCATCCCCGGCAAGGCATATACCAGGAGCAGTGGCATACACCTTTAATCCTAGCACTCGGGAGGTGGAGGCAGGGGGATGAGGTTCAGTGCAGTAATAGCATACCCTCCTACCTATACTCTTGGTCTGTGCAGTGTCCCAGCAACGTGAGTTACTGAGGGCAGTGCAGGTGCCTCTGGGAAGCCTTTGTTATAGTAACATACAGGCTT